CAACGATGCAGTTCCAGACGCGGAGCTGCCGGACGGTCCCTGCAGGCGGGCCGGCCGCAAGGCGCTAGGCCGCAAAGTGCATCGCTGTGGTTCAGGAAATCGAGACCCCGCTGCACTTTGCACAGCACTGCACGCTGCAGCGCTGCAGCCAACGTGAGCCACTGTAACCCGAACCCCACTTCGATTTTCGCAATCGCCAAGGTGTTCCTGCTTGCAGGCCAGACGGGCCGGGCCAGGCAGCCTGCGAAGAGAAAGCCTGCGAAGCCCAAGCCGCGCCGCCTGCGCCGCCTGCGCCGCCAACCTCGGTGCGCCGCTGTCACCCGGGGGAAGGAGACAGGACTTGTCTGGCTGCATTTTCCCCGGCAAGCACACGGAGTGCAGCCAACGAGTGCACTCGGTGGCCTCGATCGCCGCAGCCCAGAGCACACCGTTCCAGTGGCGTGGCTGCCAGTGGCGTGGCCGCCAGTGGCGGAGGGAGGCTCAGGCCCAGAGATTGGAGCGGAGGCGAGCAAGGCGAGCAGGAAGTCGCAATAAATGCATTCGTTTTTCCGTTGGTTAGCACCCCCGCTCTGCTTGCTGCCGCTCGCTGCTGTGTTCCGAGCCGAGACAGGCCGAGACCGCCGCACCGCGTGACTCGGGATGCGCCGGTGCGTCACGCCCCGCCACGCCGCGCCCCGCCACGCCGTCGTACAGCCGCTATATGAATATGGATTGGGGGCACGGGCCGCATCGCCGCATCGCCGCCATCCTGCAGGGACGCGAGGGAGAGGGAGCACGGCGTTCCGGCCGACCAGGGACCGCGGCGGCGCGGCGACGCTTGGCTCCAGGACGCCGACGAGGCACTGCGACGCTGGACACCTCGCGGCTTTGCCCGTCCCCCAGGCCGGTGTCGTGCCATGAATGTACCATTGGTGTGTAGCCATCGCGCGATGGTTGTGCCCACCCACGGCAGGCCGCACGTCGGGGGTACATTCGTCGCGCGGTGGGTGTACTACCGCGATCGTATTTTAGGGGGAACAAGCATCGCGCGATAGGGAATGGACTTCGCCAGTACAACCAGCGCGGGATGGCTGTACGTACCCCGGTACATTCATCGTGGGCCGTCCCACACCGGCTTGGCAGCGGAGCGTTGCGCGCGCCCAGGCGTCGCGGCCGGTGGCAGCCGCTCCCCGGCTGCACCGCGGCTGCACTGATTGCGATCTTCCTCCCTGCCGCCTGGCCGCTCAAGCGTCGGACGCCGAGGACGTCCAGAGCGTCCCGGACGAGCACCGCGTTCGTCACGCCCGGAATAATGAACAGCATCGCACAGTCACGACGGCAGCTCCGCGCGGCGCTGCGCCCCGGCCACGCCGACGCCCCGGCCACGCCGACGGCCGCCCTTTGCTCGGCGTGGTGGCGGTGGCGCGGTGGCGAGGTGGGCGTTGCTGCGCCGTGGCGGATCGGCCGGCCGGACCGCGCATGAATATGGATAAGGAGATGCGGCTCGGCTCGGGGTGCAGGACGGGTCGGGACGGCTCGGCGTCGTGCCGCAGAGGTGGAGGTGGAGGTACCTCTGGCCTCTGGCACGAATTTCGCGCACACTCGAAGCCCTTCCTGTCGGGCCCCTTGCGCGTCGTGGCGTCGTGGAGAGGCGGCCGGGATTGGAGAAGCGGCGGCTCATGTCCGCATGCCGCGTCATGTCACGGTCGCGTCACGGTCGCGTCACGGTCGCGTCACGGTCACGCTCCGCGCCGCTCCGCACCACAACGCACGCCTCGTTCCACAGGGCTGCACCCATGTGCCTTACAGCCTTGCAGCCAACAGCGTCGCATCTGCCGCGCAGCGCCTCGAAAATTATTTGAGCCGGGCATGGCGGTGCGCGCGGTGCGGGTAGTATCGCCTCGCCGTGGCGGGTGTGCGGTGTGCCGTCCGTTGGTGTCCGGGATTCCTGGAATGCGAGCGCGCGAGAGCGCCCCGCGCCGTGGCGGCCGAGGTCACCTTGCCCTGGCAGAACGCCGCCACGCCGCCACGCCGCGTTCTGACAGTGATTGAACCGGGGCGCTCGAGACTGGAGACGAACGGGGCGACGGTCCAACGCCATCCAGGCGATCCGATCGGTGGGCGCCGCGCCGCGGCTGGCTGGCGGGGCTGGCGCGTGACTTCCGCTCCGCGCGTGTCCAGCGCGCGACGGCAGGCCGGCCCAGGAGGGCCGAGGGCCAGACGCTCATTGGGATGGAGGGCCAGGCTGGCGGCTGGCGGCCGGCCGATGCATTGATGCAATACGGAGATAAGTGCGGTGGGGCGGCGGGAAGGCGGGGCTCCTCGGTACGGCGGCGTAGTGCACATTGGACGACGACGGACCACGAGCACGCTGCGGCCGGACGCCACCGGACGGCGGAACGCCACCGGACGCCTTGGAACGGAGAGAGGGCCTCCCGGAGCCTCGCAAGTCTGGCCGGAGCCCCAAGCATCATTTGGGCGTCTGGCAGGGCGAGCCGAGGGCGGCCGAGGCGGCCGAGACGCCCAGCCCATCCTTATTCATGAGTGCACCGAGGGCCCAGGGCTCGGCGAGGGGCATTAGTGCGCTTAGCGTGGCGCCATGCCGGGGAGCGCCGGGCCGGCGGGCCGCGGTGGCTGCAGCTCGGCCTGCTGGGACAGCCAGCTTGGACGGTGCCCTGCAGTGCCCTGCACTGCCCTGCCGCGACGCTTCATTCAAATGCCCTGCTCGACTCGACGCTACGACGGCGTCCTCGCGGCGTCCTCGCGGCGTCCTCGCGGCGTCCTCGCCGCGTCCTCGCGGCGTCCTCGCGGCGTCCTCGCGGCGTCCTCGCGGCGTCCTCGCGGCGTCCCTCGCGGCGTCCTCGCGGCGTCCTCGCGGCGTCCTCGCGGCGTCCTCGCGGCGTCCTCGCGGCGTCCTCGCGGCGTCCTCGCGGCGTCCTCGCGGCGTCCTCGCGGCGTCCTCGCGGCGTCCTCGCGGCGGCCTGACCCAGTAAAATAAAAAGCGCGACGCCGTTAGTCGGGTGTGTCGCGGTGTGTCGCGGTGCGTCGCATGCATACGCAACGCCTGCATGCTCAACGTGTTTGCCTTTGTCAAGGCCCTTTTAAACTAGTGGCCGCCCGCGCTAGAGAGCCAGCGCGCACTGCCCGCAGCACACCTTTCAGCAAATCCTTTGCTTGCCACCACTCGTGTAAATCTTATCAGAACGTCAGAAACCTGTCTGAAAACCTGATCAAAATTCACGCACCTCTGAAAGCTGAAAAATTATTCTGACATTCGCTACAACTCTAGAACTCAGGCCATGAGTATGTTTTCAGAATTTCAGCGCTTTCAGAGGTGCACCAGTTTTGATCAGGTTTTCAGACATGTTTCTGACATTCTGACAAAATTTACGCGGTCGGAGTCGGCAAAACAATCCGACCTGGCGCGTCGTCACATCGCCAAACGTGCTGGTGCGCTACCCGGAACGAAGCAGAAGGAAGCCCCCGGCAATGCGCTATCTCTGTGTACAAACAGACGCGGGCTGCGTGGTGCTGCGTGGTGCTGCGTGGCTGCGGGTGGCAAGTACTACTACGCCAGCGCTACGCTCGTCCGCTACGCCCACCCCGCGGCACAGTGTAGGGCCTCGCCCGCCTCGCCCCGAGGCTCCACGTCTCCACGCCGTTCGCGTACACGCGACGCGACGCGACGCGCTGTGCAGGCAGGCCTGCCGACCCGGCCCGGCACAGCCCGGCACAGCCCGACAGGCCCAATTCTCCCAGATAAAGGGTCGTCGCCCCCTCGCGCCATCGGGCCGTCGGCGAGGCGGGGCGGGGCGGGGCGGGGCGGATAGGAGGCCCGAGGCCCGGGCGCGCTGCAGGCACTGCACTGCAGGCGCTGCAGGCCGCGGAGGGGGCCGGGGACAGGGCAGCGGGTCCCACTGCGCCGCACTGCGCCGCACTGCCGCTCGCTGCATATGCAGATAGGCGCCCCGCCGCCCCCTCTCTGCTGACGTAACGAGCACACGTGAGTTTCCGCGAGGCCCCATTACCCTAGGCTGGCCGCCCTGGGCGCCATGGGCTGGGCTAGCCGCGGCCGGCTAGGCCTAGGACGGCCTCGTCCCGTCTAGCTCGTCTAGTCTCGGCGCGCCCTGGCGATAGCGGCCTGGCAGGCCCCGGGCCCCAGGCCCCCAGGCCCCCCGAACAGGGCCGGCTTGTTCTCGGTGCTCTGGCTCCTCTCCGCGTCCGCCGCCCTGCTCAGATCGAACACGTGTTTGTTTTATTCGGTCCAGCGAGAGAAAGCGGTCCGGGCGAAAAAACGCAAGTACGGCGAGGCTGCAGCAAAGCACAATGCTGCATTGTCTCACTGCGCCGTGCCACGCCGTGCAGTCCGTCCGCGTGGACAGTGCAGCCTGCGCAGCGGGGCCGTCGGTTACTAATTTGGACCGGGGCTGGTTTGGCATCAAGGCGCCCCGAGTACTCGCTGTAGCAATCACCGCAACTTTCAGTTCACGTTCGAAATTTTCCGAATATATTGGGACATTTCGGCAACGACTCTAGTACACTATGACGTCATCGACCACGGATAGAGTGAGTGCGCAGGCACAGGGCAGGCACCCCTGCTTTGGGGACGGCCCCTCGGCTTGTCCAGGCCGTCCAGACGCCCAGACGGTATCGGTGCGCCGTAATGGGATCGCGATGATGCCCATATGAGCGCGTTGCCGGGCGCAGTACCGGACTCGAGCATTGTTTCGTTGTCTGCCACCGGCAGCCAACGGCATCGAGACTCCAAGTGTGTGAGGCCGCGGCCGCGCGCGGGGAAGTGCAGTGCAGAGCGTGCAGAGCCGCAGCCACGGCCTTCCACGTAAGTCCGAACAGCCGGTGTCAAAACACTGCACAGACCACTTGACTTTCGCAGGATCGTGACTTGCGATAATTCTATCCGCCAAAGGCGAGTAATTTCGGCCAGTTTGATAGACTCCTCGTGCCTCACGCCGCGCACGCACGCTTTGTTGCTTTTCATTTCGCGCGGTGGCGTCCCCTATAAAAGGCGACACTCCGACGGCCACCTCACTGTTACCACCCATCAACATGGCCCGCGTCAGTTTGGCGATCGTCTTCGTAGCCTTGGTGGCGCTGTCTGCGGTGAGAACGCATTGCTCCTGTCGTTGTTGATGACCATCAAGCAATATGTGCATTTATTGAGCCCTGCTTGAACTCCGCCCATTGGATTGTTTCCAGGCCTTCGACGTGCCGAAGTTCACCAGCAGGCTGGGCAAGGTGTCCTACGCCCAGGTTGCCTTGGCGCGCGTCAAGGCCGCGCTCAAGGACATCCAGGCCCTTCCCCCCAAGGCGCAGACGCTCCTGGACGAATGCCTCCAGAGCTCCGCCCTGAACGCCGCCGACATGGCCAGCACGGTCCGTGGCTTCTTCAACGAAGTCGCCGGCTGCATCAACGTGTACTCCGACGTGCCGGCCAGCGTCCAGACCTGCCTCAGCAAAATGAGCAAGGGCCTGTAGAGCCGCAGTGACACTTACAGCCAGTCCACTCGTGCCACACTTGCCCCTTGTCCCCGCGCCACGCGCCGCCACTGTTGCACGCTGCACTGCAAGCGACTGCAAGGCACGCCGGCCCCTCGCGGCCCCTCGTCAACAAGCCGGCCGCCTTATCGCCCAGTGGACACAACCGGAACCGCAGCACTGCAGCGCCGCGGCAGTGGAGCATGCCAAACCGTCTTCGTTTCCTCGTTTCTCGCTTCGGAGCCGCAGCGTGGCAGCGCGGCAGTCGTTGGACTGGGCCAAAAGATTAAAAGGACTCGTACGTTAGCGTGAGTACGCCCCCCTTCTCCCTCTCTCTCTCTCTCTCCCTCCGGGGGGACGCAGTCGCGAGGCCCTCCGCGCGCTGCGTGCATGGCAGTGTACGACCGGTTCAGTGACCACGCCAAGGCCAGTGCAGGCTGCAGCGGGCTGACTTGCATGCTGAGTGCAGCTGCAGAGAGTGCAGCCCGGCCGAGCCCGGGGCTGGCTGGGGCCCAGGCCATGCCCAGGCCCTGGGCCCTGGGGCGGGCAGCCTCGCCCAGCCAGCCTGCACCAGCCTGCATCATGCATGCACGGTGCATATCAAGCTCAATGCTGATGCATCGTTCGATGGCTGGTCCTCCTTTCGTATTTTCGCCAGATGCATTGGAAATGTATTGGAAATGCATTGAGGGTTGGAAATGAATTGGAAATGCGTTGGAAATGCAGGAAAAGCATTGGAAATGCATCGTAAATGCATTTTGGAAATACATCGGGTGTTGCTGCTGTGCCTTGAGGCAGGGGCTCTACGGCACGAAGCAGGAGACCATCCTTAGTTCTTTTTGGAACTTCCAGAGGGGAAACAGTGGGGAAACAGACGACGGACGGACCGACGGACGGACGGACAAAACGAGATTTAAATGCAGCCGGGTGTTCGCTTTGGCAGTGTAAGTAGCCGGGCGAGTCGGGCCGGGCGGCCGAGTGAGGCGGTACCGAGGCGGTGCCGAGGCGGTACCGAGACCGTGTTCCGTGTGCGCCGGGACAGCACTGCTGCAGGACTGCTGCAGGACTGCTGCAGGCAGCCGGTTGCAGCGAAGCAGGCGACGCCCTCTCCTCCCCCCTCCCCTCTGCGACGCCCCCAAGGCCCTGCACGAAGCCTTGCAGGAGGCCCTGCAGCTGCCGACACATGGGGCCTTTCTAGTCATGCTCATGTTCTGACGGCGGCCATTGCAACTTTGAACGCGGTCTCGCCACGCCACACACAGAGACCCTGCTAACGACGCGTCCGATGGGCTGCCTACCCGCCGGGCGAACTCCGCCGACTCGGCTTGGCTCCGCCTTCGCTGCGGCTGTCGGGGAGCGTCTGCCTGTCTGGCGGTCGTGGTCGTTTTGTGTTGTCCTAGGCCGGCTCGCCTGCCTTAGGCCCTTAGGGCGCACAGCCAGCAGAGGCGGCGTCCGAGGTGGCCCGCGGTGCCCCACAGTGCCCCGGCCCGCACCAGGCAGGGCTCGGTTCGGGGGCAGCCCTGCTTGATGGGGCCCGGGACGAGGCTGCTTGCTGCCCTCTGCGCTCGCTACCTCGCAGCCTGCGCCCTCGTCCAGCCTCACGCAGCCTCGCCGGCCGGCGCTCCGGACAAGACAAAGGACTCGGGCTCTCGGCCGCACGGCCCAGAAAAGTCCAGATTTTACCTAAGCCAATCTAACTGAACCAAGCCTAGCTGACCTAACCTAACCCGCGGGGAGGCTGATGAGCCAGGCGGCCGTGCTCGGGTTGTAACATCATTCCCTCATCACTGGCATTACCCGCCAATGCGTATCATCGACGGCGTCCCCACGACCATCCCGACGGTCGCGCCTCCGAGGCCTGGCCGAGCCGGGCCGGGCGAATCATGTGCAAATAACACGGTGATTACGGCCGCTTCCGCCAACCAGAGGGCCGGGCCGGCGCGACCTGCGGGGGTCCCCGGTGGGGCCGGGCGGCGCCGGGCGGCCGGGGGACCGCGGAGGAGACAGTAATCACACGTTTAGCAGGATTTAGCCGGTGTTTAGCGGGGCGCTGTCTCCGTGTCTCTGTCTCTCTCGCTCTGGGCGGCAACGCGGAGCCCGAGTGGCCTGGCCTTACAATTACGGGCGTTTAGGCCCCTGCTTTTGTTGGCAACCGTCGCGGCCGAAATGACGATACCATCGTGTGGCGGTACGGCACGGCCAGCGCGGCGCGGCTCGGATTCGGCTAATTTATTCCGGAAGTGACAAACGACGGACGATAATTATGTGTTGTTTTTCTTCCTTCTGGCGCGAACCGAGTTTTTCTCTTGTTTCTCGTTTGTTTTTTTCGTTCGCCTCGATTTCTCCTTGCCGCCTTGCGAAAGGTGCGTGCATTTTGGGTCCCCATTTTCGTCCAATTCGGTTCCCGCCCTGCATGCCCTGCACTCGGCACTCGTTGAGCCCGTTGCGTCGCGGTGCGCTGTTGAGCCGGGTCGGCCGAGTCCAGCCTCGGTGAGCAAACAATGCCTCTCTAATCGGGCGGGGCGCTTGCTGCGGACTCCTCGGACTCCTCGGGGGCCTCTTTGGGGGCGGTCATGTTTGCACTGCTGTCGGCGAGGCTGTGCTTGACGGGCCGCGCCAGGCTGGCCAGGGCCCCCGCAGCCCCCGCCCCGCGGCCTCACTTAGGCTGGCTCTGTCTTCCCAGCAGACGCGACAGGTAAAAGAAACGGAGGGGGCGCTTTCGCCCGGGCCCATACTCACGTGTCACGCAGAAAACGAATCAATGCCTCTGCCATCGGGCCCAAAAAAAGACGCATAAGGAGAAGCACAGGGGAGAGCCTCTTCCCCTCCCCCACCTCTCTCCATTCTTTTGGCGACACGTATAATTCCTTACTCCTTTTTCCACTTTCCTACCTGACAAATAAGGTCTTTGTAACGATCGGAGATAGAGGAGGGCAAAAGGAAAGGGAGGGGCCGAGCGACCGCAACGCCGTGGCGACGCCGTGGCGACGCCGCAACCCCAGACGGCTGGATTGATCGTGCCTTGTTTCCGAAGCCATCAGTCCGAAAGGGGGGAGGGGGAACTCTCATGCATATGGATGCCCGCGGCCGACGCGAGACCCCGTGAGCCCCACACACAGAAATAGAAGTCGCTTTGCACGCGGATTTGGGTCACATTCAAATTGCAGGCCACCTGCTGCATCGCGGCCACGCCGCCACGCCGGCCACGCCGATGCACTGCGACTCGTTGAGGCGCCACGGCAGCAGGTGCACGCTAGTTCGCGGACGCACCTGTCTAGGCCGGCCTAGTCCGGCCTGGCCGCACAGACGAGCCGCCACTTTCTTCCCGGGGCACCTGCCGTCGCCGAGGCCGTGGACGGGGCCGTGGACGGGGCCGTGGACGGGGCCGTCGTCAGCGAGGTCGACAACGGCACCGTCGCGGCGAGTCGCCCGATTCGTCACCACCAAGACCGACCAGGACAGGGCTCGAGGGGCATCGGGCATCAGAGACCGGCGGGGACCGCCTGCCGCGTGCCGGACTGCCCGGGTGGCGGGTACCCGGTGCCGGGTGCCGCCGTCGCCGCCACGCCCGCCACGAGAAATTTGCCTGTCGAACGGAGAAAGGGCACCCAGGGCACCTGCCGCAGCTGCCGCAGCTGCCAAGCAAATGGGAGGCAGATGGCAAGGATGTTTCGGGTTTGTGTGAGGATCATACACTGTGAGTGAAGGTGCCAGCAGGCGCGCGTAAGCGCGTGGAGGTACTAGACTATTAGTAGGTACTGAGTGGTGTCTCTCTGCCCCCTTCCCCCCCCCTCTTCCAGACGACCAATGATCTCGGGAGACGTTTGTTTATGCGTTTGTCGTTGGATTTTGGTATTTGTCGAAGACTTTTTGGGATATCTTTTTCCCTCGCTAAACCGAGATTTTTCACATTTTTCATCCTTTCCTCTGCCCTTCAATCTCTCTCCGGTTCGGAATAAGAATTAATTCGCGTGTCATCTACGACGACGAGGCAGCCGAGGCACGACCACACATCAGGCTGGGCCAATCAGGACCACCCTCTGCGAGTCCTCGCCGGAGCGACCTCGAGCAACCCCGCGCCGTGTGAGTGTGGAGGTGCGTATGTGTGAAGAAGGGTGAGGTTACGATGCCCTCGGGCCCCAAGCAAGGGCCTGGGCCGAGGCCTGGGCTGACACAGGGGGTCTTCAGATATGCATATGAGACTTTTAAAAAATAATATCGCTTTGTAACTTGCAGTGTATCGATAAATCGGGACCGTTTTCTGTTGGGTTTTTCTTGCCTCAGAATTTTTTTATGAGTAACCGATGTGGCCAGTGCTTGGCCTGCCTCCCCCAATTGGCTTTCAGTCGATATGGGCTTGAAATAGACGAGAGTCGTGGGGCACCGGGGCGGGGGGGGGCGGGGCGGGGCGGGGCGGGGCGGGGGCGGGGCGGGGGGGCGGGGGGGCCCGGGCCCCGACAGCCCTAGGTGGGGGAGGGGTGCAGGTCGCCGACACGCAGTCTGGCCTGTTCGTTCTCTGTCTGGCCGAGACACACAAAAAAATATACAACGGAGCGGTGTCGTTTTTCCGCTCTAGTTTGGAGTCGGCCCGTCGTTTCGCTCTGAGGAGTGAGTGACTGACACCGTCGCCGACACCCGAGCTGGAGGCTGCAGGCTGGAGGCGAGCGGTTCGGCAGTCCGCTCTGTCTCTCTCGCACCTAGAGGACGCCCCATGAGCGCGAGAGAGACAGAGGACTCCCGGAATCAGGCTGCAGAAAGAGGCAGGGACGGCCCCGAAGTGGCTGCCTGCAAGCCGGTTGGTGATAAAGTCGTGGATTCGCCCAAATCGCTTCGATCGCCGAGCCTCGTCGGCCTGGTGACGAGTGGTGGGGCTGCGCGGGCTGCGGCGTCCATCGCGCCGCCGCGTCGTTGTCGTTCGATGCATCGGCAATCGGGGACGTAAAACGGGTGAAACGCGGCCAAGCCGAAGGGCGCGCTGCTTTCAAGAGATTTACCGGGGGCATAAAACGAAAATGGCTCCGTCTGGCCCTGCCTGCCGTGTGCCTGCCGCGCCGAGCCGCTGTCGATGCGTTGCGAAAACAAGTCCGCAGTGCCTGCAGGGCCAAGCCGAGTAGGCCGTCGTGCAGTACATACAGTGTACTCTGCCCCTGGGCCAGCCTCTAGTGGGCCAGCCACGCTCCCTGCTCGGCATGCTGGCATGCATGCCGGCCGGCTAGGACGCGGCTAGACGCGGCCAGACAGGAAGGCTTATCGAGGGCTTCGAGGGACAGACGACGGCAAGGAATGGTTCCTTGAGTCACCGCCAG